GTAAGTTCCAGCACACCCGGGTAGTGGATGCCCAAAACCATGAAGAATATTGAATCCTATATACACTATGTTTTTTCCTATGCTTACATACGTACGATACAGTTTAACTTAGTAATTAGGCATAGTAAGAGATTAACAAAAATAAATGATTGTAAAGTAGAACAACCATAATAAACGTTATGTGAATGTTGTCTGTCTCAAAATATCTTGTTGAATTATATGCATCTATTTTCAGACTGCAGTTGACCATAGCTAACTGGAACTATGGGAAACAAAACTATGGATAAAATGAGGCTAGTCTATAATGCTTCCTTTAATTAATAATCCATTGCAATTCCACTTACCAATATGGAAAGTAACTGTCCAATCTTTGTGAAAAATGACATTTTGATAACAGAGAGTAAACTAAATATCTATAACCAGAAACTTCTAACTTATTTTTTCTGACAAAATACGTATATGTGAAAACTAATATTTTGGAAAGCTAGGAAATATGCCCTACATATACAGTATACTCAATCCAGTTAAATATGACATAATATTTATTGTGCTTTTTTTGTAATTATAAATGTTGCAGTTATGATAACCCCAAGGGCAAGTAAAAATAACTTTCAAAAATATTTGATTTATTTATTTTTTGCGCTTTTTTTGTCTTGTACTTTTTATTCTGTTAATAAACTCAATTTACCCTTTTATGCTAAGATTTCAATTAAGGAAAACCTTTGGATATAAATATCATGAGATTCAAACATCTCATTCAAGACTTAATACATAGAATATTTTTTGTTATGCCATGATTTATAATACAGAATATCCATTAACTTGAAAATAATTTATTGTCCCATCACTTTGTATTTAATGAAAAAATTCAGCCTTCCTGCCTTCAGTCTTCACATGCTTTTGTCAATTATCAGAATTATACTTTATATTTATATTTGTGTATATATATATGTATATATGTATTTACATTTACAATTGTATATTTATATTTGTATATTTACATTTGTATTTTTGTATTGACTCTTGAAAAGATGTTTGAACTGTGGGACCACTTATGCATACATTTAAAAAAAAATAAATGTATTGGAAAACTTTTTTGAGATTTGTGATGATTTTTAAGAAAACTTGCAGATAAACCATGAAGATTGGAAATATTGAAAACACTAAGAAAAAGTTAGATATGTACTGAATGCATAAAATATAGGTACATATCAGTCTATTTTGTCATTTATTACCATAAAGTATATAGAAATCTATTATAAAAAGTTAAAATTTGTCAAAACTTATGCACACAAATGCTTAGAAGACCCTACATGGTGCCATTCTTAGTGTAGTAGCAAGAAATATAAATACATATAAAGATGTAGTATTAAATCACAACTGCATAAAATTAACTGTAGTACATAATGCGCTACTGTAATAATTTTGTAGCTATTTCTTGTTGCTATTGTGGTGACCTCAGGTATTGCTAGTACCTACTTAAAAATGCTGTGTGATGCTAATCATCTCCGCATGAGCTGTTTTGTCTCTCAAGTAAATTGCATCACAGTGGAAAGTGATCTTTGGAAGTTCTTATGTGTTTTTTACTGTGTCTAGTGCAATACAATAAATCCTGAAAAATATCATAGGAAACATAAGAAATGCAACTAGTAACACGAGAAGTGCCCCCAAGAGGTAAAGTAAAGTAACGACCTTACAAAAAAAGTTAAATTGCTTGATATGTGCTGTTGCTTGAGATCTACAGCTGCAGTTGCCCACTATTTCAAGATAAATAAATTCAGAATAAGTACTATTGTTAAAAATGAAAAGAAAACTAGTGAAGTTATTGCTGCAGCTATTCCAGCAGGTGCAAAAACCATGCACTGTTTGTGAAATGTCTATTGTGCATTGAAAATGTAGCTTTTATGTGGGTACAGGGTTGCTATAAACAAAGTATACCTATACATATGATATGATTTGAGAAAAAGTGAAACCATTCTATGACAACTCAAAGCTAAAGGAAGGTAATGGATCTAAAACTGGAGAATGTAATGCCAGCTAAGGGTGGTTTGATAACCTAATAAAGAGGTTTTACTGTAAAAAATGTCAAGATAAGAGGAGAAGCAGTTTCTGCTGACCAAGATCTGAGACACTATTAATGAAATCATTGAGAAGAAAGGATAACTGCCTAAAAAAGTTTTTAACGCAGACAAAAGTGCCCCATTCTAGGAAACCATGCCATAAAGGGCATCTTTGGTAAGAAAGAGAAGGCACAAGAATTTAAGGCCGAAAGGAAGAGGCTAACTCTACTATTTTGTGAAAATGCTTCAGGTTGTTGATCAGAATTGCCCTTATTTGTAAAGCTGCTAAGCACCCATTGTTGAAGGAAAATAATAAACACCAGCTGCCAGCCTATCAGTTGTACAAAAGGAAGACATGGACAAAGAGAATCCTTTTTCTACATTGGTTCTATGGTTGCTTTCTCTATGAAGTCCCTTACGTTGCCAGTAAGGGACTGCCTTTTAAACTTATTATGTATGGGACAATGCCCATGGCCACACAAAATCCTATCAGTTCAACACTGGAGGTGTCAAAGTGGTCCGTTTGCTCCCAAACACTTCTAATTCAGCCTCTAGATTAGGGAGTCATAGAACCTTTAAATGTCATTACAAATGATACTCCGTAAAACAGATTGTCACTTCTGAGGAAGAGAACTCCAGGAGAGCAAATGTCATGAAACTTTGGAAAGATTGTACCATTGAAGATGTCATCATTGTTATAGAAAAAGTAGCAAAGCCTATCATGCCCCAAACAATAAATTCCTTCTAAAGATAACTGAGTTCAGATGTTGTACATGACTTCACAGGCTTTACAACAAGGCCAATCAAGGAAATAATGAAAGAGATTTTGGATATGGCAAAAAAGATGTTGGGGGATAGTTTCAAGATATGAATCCTGGAGAAATTCAAGAGTTAGTAGGCATCACAGCAGAGGAATGAACAGAGGATGACTTGATGGACACGAATGCTTAGGACCAGTGACAAATGATAAGGAAGATGTAGAAGAAACAGTGTCAGAAAACAAATTACATTAGTCTCACAGAAGAGTCTCAATTATATGACTGTTTTTGCTAAAACAAATTGTAGAAGAAGTAATATAGAAATATTTTTAGAGAAGGGAAAATGTCAGACAGAAATTATAATGTATTTCAACAAGTTTACATTAAGTGTATCTGCCTCTTCTGCCTCTCGAACCATTTCCTCCACCACTTCTACCTCTGCCACTCTGAGACACCAAGACCCAATTCCTCATGTTCTTCCCATTCCTCAGACTACTCAGAATGAAGATGATGAGGCTGAAGACCTTTATAATGATCCACTTCCACTTAATGAAAAGTAAATAAATTTTCTCTTCCTTATAATTTTATTACTTTTAATTTTATCTAGTTTACTGTAATAATACTATATGAAATACATGTAACATATAAAATATGTGTTAACTATGTTATCAGTAAGGCTTCTAGTCAACAGTAGGCTATTAGCAGTTAAATTTTGGGGGAGACAAAAGTTATATGCAGATTTTTTACTACACCGGTTGAGTGCACCCCTAATTCTTGTTTTATTCTATGGTCAGTTGTACAACACAGACTAAAAGAACTGTGTAGCATATTCTTTTATTTGACTATTCTGGTCTGTAAGCATAATCAGAATAGGGAACTATTGTTAAACATACCTCTGATGCTATAAATATCTTTACTCAAATAAAGGGCATTTTTAACTTCTCAATTTGAGTCTTCTTATGAGTATTTCTTAGAATATGTCCCAGTGACTGTTGATCTGATCTGGGGTTCTAGCTAAAACAACAGTTAGTTATTTATGACATCTCGATAAGTATTGCATATCTCTTTATACTGGCAACCTGACAGCTTCTGATTCTATTTCTATTGCACTATAGACAACTGTCTCTTCCCCTGAGATTTCTCTTATAGGCCCCAACATGATTTTCGTATGCTAAATTATTACAAATATACATATACTTTTTTAGAAAACTATCTGGCTCTTTTTGCCAGATGTAACTTAGAGATAAATGGATACAAATTTTATGATACAGATTGAATGGTTCTAAACTAGCACAGCTTTAAGAAACGTATGCACTCTGATACTACCATCCGTAGTGATACGGTTTGGCTTTGTGTCCCCACACAAATCTCATCTCAAATTGTAAACCCCATGTGTTGAGGGACGGACCTTGTAGGAGGTGATTGGATCATGGGGGTGGTTTCTGCATGCTGTTCTCTTGATAGTGAATGAGTTATCATAAGATCTAATGGTTTAAAAGCATGCACTTCCTTTTGCTCTCTCTCTCTCCTGCCATGTAAGATGAACCTTGCTTCCCCTTCCCCTTCTGCTATGATTGTAAGTTTCCTGAGGCCTCCTCAGCTATGCAGAACGGTGAGTCAATTAAACTTCTTTCTTTGTAAATTACCCAGTCTTAGGTGGTGCTTTATAGCAGTGTGAAAATGGACTAATCACATAGTAAGCAAAGTTGCTACCATCTTGGAGAAATTTCAGGTTTTATAAACACTTTTGACTCTGAAGTTACTTACACTTAAGTTCTCAGTATGTGTCAATTCCATACGTTTAATTAAAAGTACTGTTATTGCCTAGAAATACAAAAGAAGAAAATAACATTTCAGTGAGTCTTATTTAATAATTTTCTAATGAGCTTTTATAAATCTAATCCAGACATTAGAAAAACTACATTAGGCAGGGCGAGGTGGCTCATGCCTGTAATCCCAGCACTTTGGGAGGCGGAGGTAGGTGGATCATGAGGTCAGGAGATCGAGACCATCCTGGCCAACATGGTGAAACCCTACCTCTACTAAAAATACAAAAATTAGCTGGGTGTGGTGACGCATGCCTATAGTCCAGCGACTCACGAGGCTGAGGCAGGAGAATCACTTGAACCTAGGAAGTAGAGATTGCAGTCAGCCAAGATCACACCACTGCACTCCATCCTCATGACAGAGCGAGATTCTGTCTTAAAATAAAATAAAACAAAATAAAATAAAATTACACTAGGCAATGGCAACAGTGTATGGACTTTAAAATTATAGAGATCTGGATTTTAATCTCAGCTCTACCATCTGTAATCTTGCCATCTTACACATGTTAGATAGCATGTTAGATAGTTTTTCTGAGTCTTAAAATTTTCGTGTGTGTAATGGAATTTTAAAAGCAACTTTTTATGGTATTTGTATAGATTAAAAAGTACACACACATACATACACATAAATTAGTGTATAATGGCTTTATAAAAACTATCTGTCTGTCCTCTGAAGTAGCAAAATTACTCGTGGTAGAAATCCTCACTTTATCTGTCCTTCAAACTACCAGAGTCATCTGTTTGTACTATGGCTCCTGATTTGAGTTTGAGGTAAACATGTCTGGGTATACTTACTATAGCAGGGCCATCAAGATTCTAGGGGTTGTGACATGAGGAAATACTGTTATGGGCTATATTGTATTCCCTCAAAATTCTTATTTTGATGTACCAACTTCCCCTACCTCAGAATGTGACTATTTGGAGATAAGATATTTAGAGATAATTAAGGTAAAATGAGGTCGTTTGGGTAAGATCTAATCCAATATTACTGGTGTCTTTATAAGAAGAGGAGATTTAAGATACAGACAACTTGACAGAGGGATGAACACGTGAAGACAGAGAGAAGGTGGTCATCTGCAAACAAGGAGAGAAGCTTCAGGAAAGTCAAACCTACTGAGATTTTGACCATGGAACTTCCATCCTTCAAAACTGTAAGAAAGTAAATTTCTGTTATTTAGGCCACTTAGTGTCTGTTATTTTGTTTTGACAGTTCTAGAAAACAAATAGAACTATATATTGAAGCAAAGAGATTTGGTTTATGGCATATAACGTCTGAAGGGAGGTTCTATTGTCATTACAAGCTGATGCCTAAAACTCAGATAGATACTGCCAAGTTCTCACAGAATTATGGCTAATGTTGGCTGGGTTTGGTGGCTCACACCTGTAATCCCAGCACTTTGGGAGGCCCAGGCGGGCAGATCACAAGGTCAGGAGATTGAGACCATCCTGGCCAACATGGTGAAACCCCTCTACTAAACTACAAAAAATTAGCTGGGCATAGTGGTGTGCACCTGTAGTCCTAGCTACTCAGGAGACTGAGTCAGGGGAATCACTTGAATCTGGGAGGCGGAGGTTGCAGTGAGCCGAGACCATGCCACTACACTCCAACCTGGCGACAGGGCAAGGTTCCATCTCACAAAAATAAATAAATAAATAAATAAATAAATAAATAATAAAGAATTATGGTTAATGTTCATTGATTGCAGTAAAAAATAAGAGTGAATAAAAACTAAACTTTTTAAAACCACATTTTGTGCAATCAACATCTTTAATCTCAGCAGTAGACACAGAAGTAGAATTCAGAATAGGAGAATACCAGGTAACATCTAGTATATGATTGAATAATATAAGTCCACAATTAGTGCATTGATGTAAAACCATTAAAATAGGAGAAAAAGTAACTGCCAAGTATTTTGTTTTAAAATTTTGAATGAATTTGTTAGTTCTAATAATATAGAGAATACAATTATGCGTAATTACAGTTTATATTGATTACAGATTATTTATCTAACTTATTAGACTTGAGTTGGCCAAAGAGCATGTCCGTAGAGTTGGTCATGAGAATCACAGATATTAAAATGTGTATGTAGCCGATTTGGCAATAATTTGATTTTGACTTGGCTATCAATCCAGTATATGTTTAGAAATAAATGATTCTAGTAACTATATGTGAATGAACAGCCTAATGAAATAAAGTTGTCAAATATTGGCATTATTCCTCATTCATGAAAAGTTAAAAAAAGGCCTCTTTAGCTAAGAGTATGTTTGTTTGGATAAACACAAGGTCTCTGAAGCCAAGTAAACAGCATGAAGGGCTACTGGGTTAAAAAAAGAAAAAGAAAAAGAAAAAGAAAAAGAACAAATAAGCAGGGCTAATCAAGAACAGATTAGTGTATTAGAGGACGTTTTTTCACTGGAAATGCTCAAGCTGTCCTTCCTCTCCTCTTATGGCCATGTTGGTGATATTTGACTTCTGTTCACCAATGACTAGTGCCCAAATATTTTTGCAGTTTACTTTCATGCATTTTTGAATTCATTTGTTCATTCAGTAAGTGGTTATTAAGCCCTTGTTATATATCAGTCACTCTCAGTGTTCCAAACATTAAGGGATTTGAAATATTGCAGAGAAAATTCTGTCATAATAGAGCTAAACTGGCCTTGTTGCTAAGACTAAAATATGCCAGAGTCATTCCTATCTCAAGTCATTCACTCTCATGAACATCTCTGCCCGTACCACTTTGTGCTCACATCTTCCAATCTCATTTCCATTTTTTCAGGTCTCTCTACGTATTATTCATATGATACTTCAATGAGTATGGGTACTGAAGGCCTCACAGCCAAACAGCAGATCTCATAGGAGAAAAAGTGAGTTTCGTAATGTGGACTAAACTTTTTAGCTTAGAATACAGTTTGAGGTTTTAGAAGATCTTGTGAAATAGAACTGATCTCAGTTACAGTAACTGTTCCTTAGTCTCCATTTCTGCTATATTAATGACTTAATTACTTTTCAACTTTTTTCTACCACTACAGTTGGTTTTAAAGGCAATACAGTAACACAGTGCTTAAGAGTGTGGACTCTGGAGCCAAACTGCTGGATTCAACTTGGTATGTGATCTTCGGCAAGTTTCTTTCTCTACCTGTACTTCAGTTTTCCACATCTGTAGGATTTGGAAGGATCTTATAATACTTGTAGAATTGCTGTGATAATTGAATGAGATGGCATATGAAATGATCTTTGCATAATCTCTGGCTACATATGTCTATGCTCTTATGACAATTAATAACTCATTCCTCTCTCTTCTTTTTTTTGCTCCTCCAGTGTTTTCCTTTCATTTGCAACTGCTCCTGCTTGACAGATTTTACTTAATACCTTCTTTATATATTTTTAGCTTTTTCCCTACCCCATATCCTGTCCTACTACCAGTATGTCTTTATTTATCCATCCCTTTAAAATGATTGATCTTGATTTAATCACTATCATCCATGTTTGGGAAATGGTGGGTGGGGGGCAGACCTTGTTTCTCCAGTTTACTTCTGGTCTTTTGTAACTAAGAAGGCTAAGATATATGGCTTCCCATTATAAACGTTACTGCAGATTACCAATAGGCTTCTCTCCAACGTGCCCACTACTCAGGAGTGACACACATTATCAGAAATCTAAACAAAGATTTTAAGTACTGATTTTTTTACTCCTATTACTTGAAAAAGACTATGGCTATGTTGGAGATACCCCTTAAAGAAAGAAATGTCAGAAAACTAAGAAATAAAAGTGAATAAATAGGAAATGAGATTGAAATAAAACAAAATGTGAAAGCTGATTTTTCCTCGGAAAAAGTAAGTTATGTTTCCACAGCTGGAGGCTAAAAACAGCTGCATTATCTATAGCCCATTGAATGGAGCTCAGTCATTAATATTTTACTCATGTACACACTTCATTTTGATGCAATTTTCCTGTATAACTAGCCAGAATCATTTGCAGGATATTTAACAAAAATGATGAAAATACTCAGCTGCATCTGTTCATCATTTGGCTAACCACATTTTTGCATAAATTTAACATGAGCTTAAGCCATCACCATTATTTTTCTCATCCTTTCTCTTCACCGTTGAAATCTGAATGCCAAAATTTATTATTATTCAGGTACGCAATCACAGTACCATCCTAGCAATCAAGTCAAAAGCAGCAAAGCAAAATTGAAAAAATGTTTTCTAAAACTGCTGTCACGTACAATACTTCCCTAAGACAACAACCAGTGGCTGTTGCAATGACAAACAGCTTTAATAATGAAAATAGACTCTCAGTTTTACCTACACAGATGCAGTTTAATTTTCTTCTTCCTTATTAGAATCCTCACTACCTCTCCTCCTCCACTCTGCCCCCAGTTGTAAGAATGAGCTGGCAAACACAACAGTTCTATTCATTCTCAGTTTAATACACAATTTCTCATATACACAAAAGGGTGAAATGGTTTCTAAAAACATTGGCTGGTAATGATGACAGTAGAATCTAATTCCCTCAGGTGCTCACTTAATACTTATCTCTCTGCTGGAGAGTGTAATAAGGTCGTCAGGATTATTGAAGTTGACAGGGCACCAGGCTCAGATTAATTACTTCATAGAATTCAGAAGGAATTAGAAAAAGCAACAATACTGCCTCTGGCAAATGCATATATTTTTTATAGTTCTCTAAGGACTTTCAGTGTAATATAATACAAAAGAGAGAAGAATAGCTAATGCAATTGATTTGTAGGTTTTGCTATACAAATTCTGAAAGATTATTCTGAGAACAAGAAATCACCATCCATCATAATTTTAAAGAAAAACACTCAGAGTGGAATACCTTAAATACGTGATGAATAATTGAAGGGTAAGTAAAAGGTACTAACGTGTGAATCTTTCTCCTACCGTGTTCCAGAAAATTTATCTTCATTGCATCATTTAATTCTCGCAAACATGCAAAATAGATGCTATCCTTTAAAAAAATGGACAGGTTGAAACATGTTAAGGATTTTTCCCAAAATTTAGTATCTAGTGAATAGTTAGCAGCCTTTAAATTTATCTCCCAAATCCCAAACTCTTTCCTCAAACATAGGGAACACCAATGAATTGTTCTTGAAAACTGTCCTTGTTAGATAGTGAAACACTCACATGAAAATCACAAGGAAAACACATATGATTAAAGAATATGAGAACAAAATTGGACAATTAGAGGTTAACTAAATTTAAATGGACAAAGAGAAGGGACATGAGGCCAAAGTTACTTCCCTGAAATTCCTTGACACTTCCTGCTTAGGTGAATAATTCCAGGAACAACCCTAGCCACATACTGATAATGACTATTTGAAGACACACTGTAGCCTTTAGTCAATCATCTATTAGCTTATCACTGTTAACAAATGGTATTTGTATGTGAACAGGCTGATACTCCCTTGCTGTGTCTCCTCATTTTGTCTTTAAAAATCTGCTTATAACTGCCCCAACTCACAGCATTTCTAAAGAAACTTGGAAGTATTTGTTGGGTTACTGCTCTGAATTTTGGCCCAAATAAACTCTCTACTTAAATCAATTTTGCCTCAGTTTCTTTCTTTAGGTTGACATATCCATCTATATTGAGCACCTTCCTTAAATAATGCTAGAGACTTTATATATATTTATTTCATTAAAACATAAGAAATTTTAAGAGTTTGATGAGTCACTTATCAGCTTGGGGAGATGTGACAAGTAAATCTAAAAAGTGAAAAGAAATGATACAGCACAACCTACACCATTACACTTACCAAAAACCAGAAACACATCACTACTGCAGATTTGAAAACGTAGAATACACCTGGGTATGGAATAAACAAAATGAAAAAGGCTTCTGGGTAACTAAAATAGATATTAAAAAACAATTGCTCCTCGGTTCATGCAATATACTTGTAAATGGTACTATTTCTATTGTCTGTAATGAGGACTCACTGAGGCCACAAAGCTCAGGACAAAGGGTAAAAAGTACACATCTGCATTCCAAAGAAAGGTGCTTACACATTCCAGAGGACTTAGTAAGAGGTGGTCAATCAATACCCATTCTCAGTCTCCTTGTCTTACTAGAGACGAAGTTTCACCATGCTGGCCGGGCTGGTCTTGAACTCCTGACCTCAAATGGTCCACCTGCCTCGGCCTCCCAAAGTGCTGGGATTAGAGGTGTGAGCCACTGCTCCCGGTCAACTTTGTAACCTTTTAAACAACTTTTTGACTCTTGTAATAACAGCTTAAAACACAAACACATTGTGCAGCTGACAAAAACATTGACTTTCTTTCTTTATTCTACAAGCTTTATTCTATTTTTAACACATTTTATATTAAAGTTTTTACTTTTTAAATTTTGTTATTATTAAAAATTAAAATACACATATCAGCTTAAGCCTTCACAGAATTCAGATCATCAAAATCACTGTCTTTCACCTCCACCACATCTTTTCTCACTGGAAGGTCTGCAGGCGCAGTAACAAGCATGGTACTGTCATCTCCTGTGATAACAATGCCTTCTGGAGTACATCCTGAAGGACCTGCCTGATGTTGTTTGACAGTTAACTTTATTTTTTTCTTTTTTAAAATGTGTTATTATTTAGAAACAGGGTCTCATCTTGGTTTGTCACCCATGCTGGAATGCAGCGGTGTGATCATAGCTCACCCCACTTGTATTCCTAGCCTCCCACCTCAGCCTCCCAGTGTGCTGGGATTACAGGTGTGAGCCACTGCACCCGGCTTTAACTTTTTATAAGTAGGAGTACACTCTAGAATAAGGGTGAAAAGTATAGTATAGTAAATACATAAACTAGTAATAGTTTATCATTATCAAGTATTGTGTCCTATACATAACTGTATGTGCCATACTTTTATACAACTGGCAGAGCAGTAGCTTTGCCTACATCAGCACCATTGTAAACACATGAGCCATGCATTGTGCTATCATGTTACAATGGCTGGCTATGACAACACCAGGCGCTAGGAATTTTTCAGCTCCATTATAAGCTTATGGGGCCACTGTAGCATAGGTAGTCCATACTGACTGAAACATTGTTATGCAGTGCAAGACTGTATCTTATAATCAGGCATAGGAAAATCAAAACAACTTTTAAATAACGTTTATTCAAAATTAACTTTAAGGTTTACTGCTCAGGATGCATATTGTCTGCTTTTCAGAAAACTCAACCGGATTGATGTGTTTCCTACATGCATCCAGTAGCCGAGATTTTTCAAGATGAATATTGTAAGTGTTATATAAGGGCTCATGTATTGAGAACCAGAGAGTTCAAGGGAAGGCCAGTAGTCTGGGCCGGTATGACTGCTTCAGGAGCTTCGATTTAACTCCTGGACTTAAAGACTAGGTTAATGAAGAGATTTTGTAAACTTACGCAGCACGGAACACAGCACAAAATGAATTCAAAGGGGGAAGTAATTGTCCATTGAGTCTCCAGAGTGGAGTAATCTTGCTGTGAAAAAGAAAATTTACACATTTTGCTTTCAGTGTGGGTCTGTAAAGGGAGGGCAAGCTGGGGAAATAGCTGGGTTTATTTATGAGATTGTTTAAAGGATACATCACACAGAAGATAAACTAGAGAAATTGTATGGTCATGTTTGCCCATATACAATCAAATCCTCTGTACAATTGATGTATCCAATAAAGTCATGAGATGTTACATGGACTGTACAAAATAGTAGAATAAGGGCATTTTGCTTGGAACATGTCCAGGAGAGAGTGTATGAGATAATTTACTGCATTGCCTAAACCCTGAAATCACAGATGTCTGAAAAAAAAAACGAAATGAGCTAGAAAAATGTAAGGAAAACACTGACAGCAAATCGTGGAAACAAAAGTCCTTGCCCACATGAGAGGAAACAATTTCTGTTCATTGAACATTGTTGCTTCACAGAGTTCTCAGTGCACAGTGAGTACTAGAAAAGTTTACCAAGGCTGAATATTAGAAATATCTTCCCTCAACTTAGTAAATTAAACTCAATTCACTTAGACTGGGCACAATGGCTCATGTCTGTAATCCCAGTGCTTTGGGAGGCTAAGGCCAGAGAATCACTTGAGCCAGGATTTCAAAACCAGCTTGGGCAACTCTGTGAGACCCTGTCTCTACTAGAAACTAAACACCAAAAAAAACAAAACAAAACAAAAGTCCTGGTGGTGTTGCATGGCCATAGTGCACTCCCAGTTACTTGGGAGGCTGAAATGGGAGGGGTACTTAAGCCCAGGAGTTCGAGGCTGCAGTGAGTTACGATCACCCCACTGCACTCCAGTGTGAATGCAGAATAAGATCCTTTCTCTTAAAAACAAAATGAAGTATTGCCAGAATGGCACTTAATAAATATTTGTGGGTTAAAGTGAAGGCTTGTTTTACTTTAGAATTACTTTCCAAGGTAATGTACAGAAAACGAAGGTTGTTTAAATCTTATAAGACATCAATGCTTTTGTAACCAATATTATTCAAATATTTGTAAAATTAAAGAGTTGATGAAATTTGTTATTATGTCTAATATAAACTTTCACTGGAATTTTCTCCTTTTCCTAACCAATATAGTCTTTTTTTATTTTCTACTTCTCCTGTCAGATAAATGACTTTCAATGACCTGCCCTATTGATCCTATTTGCCACTTCCAGGTAATTTTTCTCCAAGACCAAAGTGTCCCGAATGTCTTCGTCTTTCTGATCACTCCATGTTCCTGTGCATGAGGCCTCTTCTACCTTTTATCTAATATTTTAGCTTTTCTTGTACAGATAGTTTGTATGTCCAGGCACGTTATAGATAATAGGCATACAACAATAGAGACAGAGAATGTGTGCCGTCTGGAACTCACAAACTATTAGGTAAAATAGACACACAGCTGCTAGGGCTTCAGGCTAAGGCAGAAAGGAACAGAAAACATAACAAATAAAAACAGGAAATCCCTCTACTCTCTGTTTCATAGGACCTGGATTTCCTGCTCCTCTGACCAGAAAGAGGGAGCCTTTAGAAACCATTTCTGTGTGCAACTGGTATGCAGTTCTAGGTTTCGGGTTCTCTTTGATTCTGTACTTGAAGATAACAGAGGAAAAGAAAACAAGACAAAAACAGAAAACTCGTCACCAGTACATGAGTGCTTTGAGTTTCCTGTTCACTGCAGCCAACATTTACTTGGCATAGTCCTCAAATAGCTGCTTCATGCATATTGTCCAGGATTTTTGGTTGTATTCAGTGGGAAAGCCAGAATTGTGTGTCCTTATTGCATTCACTGTGAACTCAGAACCCCAGTGAGCACAACTTTGATAGCTCTCCAAGATCACATCCTCTGTAAAGTTCCTCTGAACTGTGTCCAAACATTCCTGCTCCTGCTAGAGATGGCGACGTTGGCATCCTGCACTTCACTGACTTTTAGAAATGACCACAGTTTTAAAAATGGAGGACTTCATCAGTGCTCCTTGGATTTTCTCTACTACAAAAATCCAGCCCCCAAAGCATCTAGAACCTTACAGATAGTTCAAGGTTAGCTTTGTTCTTGCTACCTAGAGCCCTCTCTACCTGATACACTGTGGTGATGGTAGTTTTTTTTCTTTCTCAAGTAGGACTATCTCACGTCATGAAACCCAACCATAAGGATATCCCAACTCATTTTATGTTAAAAATGGCATAATATCTTATTCTATGGATCTAATTTATTTATATTTCCAGGCCCAAATAAATGAGCATATAGTTGTCGCCATTGCTACCAGACATCTAGCATTAAAACTGAATTGCTATATTAAATATTTCTGTGTACATCATTGCATATCTGTTCTAATACATGTGTTGAATAAAATTCTAAAATTGGAATCTGATTTTGCAACTTTTAATATAAAGAGTCATATGTCATTTCCTCTCAATTTTCTCAAAATATACTAAAAATAATATTTGGAGAGTTTCTATTTACCAACACAATTTTTTTCTCATGATATTCTATACCTACTGCTCTGTTACCACCACTTATGAAACTGTATTGCAATAGCATATGTGCTTCTTTCTTCTTGATTCTTCTAGACCAGTGCTGTTCAATCATAGTCTCTAAAGATGGAACTACTCATACGTTGTCCAGTATGAGAGCTACTAGACATATATAGCTATAAAACACTTGGAATATGGCTAGTGTAACAAAGGAACTCAACTTTAAGGTTTTTTTTTTTAAATATTAACTAATTTAAATTTAAAATGTTGACCAGGCACAGTGTAATCCCAGCACTTTGGGAGGGTGAGGCCGGTGGATCACTTGATCCCAAGATTTTGAGACCAGTCTGGGCAACATAGTGAAACCTCATCTCTATGAAAAACACAAAAATTAGCCGGGTATAGTGATGCTCACCTGTAGTCCCAGCTATCCAAGAGACTGAAGTGGGAGGATCGCTTGAGCCTGGCAGGTAGAGGCTGCAGTGAGCCCTGATAGCACCACTGGACTCCAGCCTGGGAGACAGAGCAAGACTACGTTTAAAAAATATGTATATATACTAAAAATATATATATATATAAAATGTACTTTGTGACTACAATATTAGACAGCAAGGTTCTACCCTATGGGTTCTTAAGAATAACAATTCTACCTTTCATTTCTTTGTCTCTAGCATCTAGGATGGTCAAGGCAGTTTAGGTTCTGCTGGGCAAAATCCCCAATTCATTCTTGTTTTAACATTACAGAGTTTAATTTTTGCTCATCATACATATCCAGTGTGGGTTGGTTGGAGTTTTGCTCCCCACCATTATTCAAGGTCTCAGGTTAATGTAAATTCAGACACCTTGAAGCTGCATCATTAGGAACACAAAACCACCACGGTTCCCATAGTTGAATAAAGTGTACATGGAAATTCAAACCACCTTTTCTATGTTTCACTAAAAACCCATTGGTTAGGATAAGTAACATGAATTCACCAGAATTCCTGGGGGCTGGGAAGTGTGTAAGAATGCATTGTTATTAATGATTAGTAATTATCCCTGTCACACAATAAATCCAAATTCTTGTTGAATGTTGAATAAGGAAACATTTTGGTTACCAGACAAAAGAAGTGCATTCCAGAGAAATGAAAAAGTAATGGTACTGAGGTGGAGAAATAATTTTTTTAAAAAAAAAGCCTATTCTGGAAACATTTTTGGATAGGTATTAATTTAAAAAAATGGACAAATAGAGTAGAATTAAAATGGTGGATTCTAGGTTAAGGAATTTAAAATATTAAATTTTAATTTAATATTAAAATTTTAAATTTAAA